GACGTAGCAGAATACATTTTGGCCTAAATTTATGACGAAATATGATTTTTAAAAAAATTTTTACTGGACATGTTTAATAGAAAAAAGTCAAAAATATTGTTCTCTTCTCAAAATTGTCGGTCTTTTTTTTTATAGCACAAAAAATAAAAATGCACAGGCCATCAAATATCACCAAAAGAAAGCTCAATTTGTGGGAAAAAAGGACGTAAATTTCATTTGGGTGCAGCGTTGCATGACCACTCAATTGTCAGTAAAAGTAACGCAGTGCCGTAACGCAAAAAAATGGTCAGGAAGGGGGGGTCAATCCTCAGGAGGGCAAGCAATACACATTTTCCTACGTTTTTTTTTTTTACAAAGGAAATTTTGCTAAATTTATAACAATGATATTTTAAGTACAAATGCAAACTATTGCTAAAATGTGAGTACGGTTTGAGCTTACTAAACATCGCTTTCAAATATGACTTGTTTTTAAAAAAACAAAAATTGATCAATGACACAGTGTGTGTTTTTTGGTTAGGTGTATGGTCATCCTAGGAGGCACGTCCTGCAAGGTGCACCCATTGCTGTTAGTCTACCTTTGCATAAGCAATCAAGTAAAAGAATGTTGCAAAAGTAGAGAGTGAAATGCAGCCAATATTACATAAAATAAATAATAGGATATAAATGTAAATTGTCCATCATGAGACTGGGTATAGTCTTTAGGTATCTTTCAACACTGCTCGCAGCACCTCAGTGGAACTGAAGTAATCTCTGGAAACATAAAAAGAAACAGCAGAGGGCACCAAACTAAGTGTAGCATATACTAATCTCTTTTTTTATAATAAAGATTAGTATTTGCTACACTTAGGTTGGCGCCCTCTGCTGTATCTTATTTTTCTTTGCATTAGCAAACCCCTTTTCCCTGATTGTAGTTGGCCAACTTACTAAATTTATATAATTCATAGGTTACATTACATTTCAAGGAATAGGCTGCAAACAATTTGAAAATTTGCAAACCTAAAACAACCATTCCAAAACACAACCAACAGGCTTGGTTCACAGTGCCGCATTCTGATTTTGAACTGACTTTCAGTGCAATTATGAAGTGCAACTTTGATAAGGTTTGTGTAGTCTATGGGGCCAAAATCATGCATGAATCACACCATAGTACAGGAACCTTTTCCAAAATTGCACCATCTCTAGTTGCTTTGATGTGAATGAGCACATTGAGAACAATGTGATTTCCCTTGTCATGTGATTCTGTGGGTTTTAAAATTACTTATACGCCTGAACAGGGACTTGAACCCTGGACCCCCAGATTAAAAGACTGATGCTCTACTGACTGAGCTATCCAGGCTCCTTATTGCTCTCCTTAATTCCCCTTCTGGTGACAATCCAAACTTTGGGATTTTTTTATTCAATTTCATTCTCAGTGATAACTGTGAACAGGACAAATAGAGAGGGTGACTCTCCTTAGTGGGGAGACAGACAGCAATTAAAACCTGACAGGCATTCTAAACCTTCTACGCTTAATCTAATGCTAAACCAAAATTTGCCTTTAGTTATACAAAGTACTATAACACAGCCTGCACCCATACCACTGGGTTTGCATAGCACTCTGAATTTTCTAAAGAAAGATCCCTACATCACACAGTGCAGCACAGTGGCTAAATGGTTAGCACCTCCTCCTGGCAGCACCAGGGCTGCTAGCTCAAATCCCAACCACCGTACCACCTACCTGGATTTTGCATGTTCCCCATGTGAGCCTCTACCAGGCACCCCAGCATCCTACCAAGGGCAAGCCAACCAGCTCTTCTTCAAATTAGCCCTAGTATGTGAATGTAAGTTATGGACTTTAGATTGTACACCCCTTGAGGGTTAGGCACTGATGTGAATGTACAGCATCTCACAGAAGTGAGTATACCCCTCACTTTTTTGTAAATATTTGACTTACATAACCGATCATGTCTCTAAATATCACCAAAAACCGTACACTCCGCTCCTCGCAAGACCTCTAACTCTCTAGCTCTCTTATCTCCTCCTCCCATGCTCGTCTCCAAGACTTCTCCAGGGTGTCACACATCCTCTGGAACTCCCTACCCCAATATATCAGATTATCACCTACTCTACTTGCCTTTTGGCATTCACTGAAAACCTTTCTCTTCAGGGAAGTCTATCCCGCCCTCTGCTAATTCTGGTATCCTCTACTCTTCCAACCACTCCATCCCCCACAGTGACCACCTACTGTACCACTCACCTCGCCCTCCTAGATTGTAAACTCTAAGGAGCAGGACCCTCTAATCCCTCTTGTATTGAACTGTATTGTTACTGTATTGTCTCCCACTTAATGTAAAGCACTGAACAAACCATTGGCGCTATATAAATCCTGTATAATTATAATAATTCTATCTTTTCACATGTGACAAACTGAAGAAATGACACTTTGCTACAATGTGACGTAGTGAGTGTACAGCTTGTATAACATGTAAATTTGCTGTCCCCTCAAAATACTCAACAGACAGCCATTAATGTCTAAACCACTGGCAACAAAAGTGAGTACACCCCTAAGTGACAATGTCCAAATTGGGCCCAAAGTGTCAATATTTTGTGTGGGCACCATTATTTTCCAGCACTGCCTTAACCGTCTTGGGCATGGAGTTCACCAGAGCTTCACAGGTTGCCACTGGAGTCCTCTTCCACTCCTCCATGATGACATCACAGAGCTGGTGGATGTTAGAGACCTTGAGCGCCTCCACCTTCCGTTTGAGGATCCCCCACAGATGCTCAATAGGGTTTAGGTCTGGAGACATGCTTAGCCAGTCCATCACCTTTACCCTCAGCTTCTTTAGCAAGGCAGTGGTTGTCTTGGAGGTGTGTTTGGGATCGTTACCATGTTGGAATACTGCCCTGCAGCCCAGTCTCTGAAGGGAGGGGATTACGCTCTGCTTCAGTATGTCACAGTATATGTTGGAATTCATGGTTCCCTCAACGAACTGTATCTCCCCAATGCCGGCAGCACTCATGCAGCCCCAGACCATGACACTCCCGCCACCATACTTGACTGTAGGCAAGACACACTTGTCTTTGTACTCCTCACCTGGTTGCCGCCCCAAACGCTTGACACCATCTGAACCAAATCAGTTTATCTTGGTCTCATCAGACCACAGGACATGGTTCCAGTAATCCATGCCCTTAGTCTGCTTGTCTTCAGCAAACTGTTTGCGGACTTTCTTGTGCATCATCTTTAGAAGAGGCTTCCTTCTGGGACAACAGCCATGCAGACCAATTTGATGCAGTGTATGGCGTATGGTCTGATCACTGACAGGCTGACCCACCACCCCTTCAACCTCTGCAGCAATGCTTGCAGCACTCATACGTCTATTTCCCAAAGACAACCTCTGGATATGATGCTGAGCACGTGCACTCAACTTCTTTGGTCGACCATGGCGAGGCGTGTTCTGAGTGGAACCTGTCCTGTTAAACCGCTGTATGGTCTTGGCCACCGTGCTGCAGCTCAGTTTTAGGGTCTTGGCAATCTTCTTATAGCCTAGGCCATCTTTATGTAGAGCAACAATTCTTTTTTTCAGATCCCCAGAGAGTTCTTTGCCATGAGGTGCAATGTTGAACTTCCAGTGACCAGTATGACAGAGTGAGAGCAATAACACCAAATTTAACACACCTGCTCCCCATTCACACCTGAGACCTTGTAACACTAAGGAGTCACATGACACCGGGGAGGGTAAAATGGCTAATTGGGCCCAATTTGGACATTGTCACTTAGGGGTGTACTCACTTTTGTTGCCAGCGGTTTTGACATTAATGGCGGTGTGTTGAGTTATTTTGAGGGGACAGCAAATTTACACTGTTATACAAGCTGTACACTCACTACGTCACATTGTAGCAAAGTGTCATTTCTTCAGTGTTCTCAAATGAGAAGATAGAATAAAATATTTACAAAAATGTGAGGGGGTGTACTCACTTCTGTGAGATACTGTATATAAAAGCACTGCATAAACTGAAGCACTATATAAGTACCTATAATAAATAAATAATTGTTTTTTTATAATTGTTGTTTTATTCTGAAGCTACCTAATTGGAACTCTTTTTGGAGCTGTACACAGCAGGGGAAGGTAGAGGGAGAAGTTGCTCTTTTGACTCCTTCAGCTTTGTATGAAACCTGAGCTTCAGTTATCCAGTTCTGTGAAAAACATACCTATGAAATGTGAAATGAGCCTAGAGCTGACTGGAAAAGAAAAAACAAGATCCATTACAATGCAAAATTTCACCTGGATAAAAAAAAATTGCAATGTTTGTATTCACCATAACATTCATCAACCACTTGCCTAACGGGCACTTATACCCCCTTCCTGCCCAGGCCAATTTTCAGCTTTCAGAGCTATCACACTTTGAATGACAATTGTGCGGTCATGCAACACTGTACCCATATGAATTTTTTTATCATTTTGTTTTCACACACAAAGAGCTTTCTTTTGGTGGTATTTAATCACCACTGAGTGTTTTTGTTTTGCACTTTAACCACTTGCCATCCACCTGCTGTTGATAAGTCCAGGGGCGGGTTGCCGTTCATAAACAGCACCCACCTTTTCTAGCTGTGTGTGCTCCCTGGGAGCGCGCAGCACCACGATCCGGTGCCCGCCCGTGTCCTCCGGACACAGTGAAACACTGATCGTCGGACGTGACCTCTGTATGAGGTCCCGATCATGTGATCATGTGATCACTTGTGACATCATTGCTTACTACGTGTGAAATCTGTGAATGATCACAGAGGTCACATGGTACAAGGCTATTCACAACAGCCTTGTACCATGTGACAAGCTGTGACCAATCACAGCTCACTCAGTACTTCTCAATGACTGCAAGAATGCAGACAGAGAGAAAGAGAAATGATTGCTTTTACATCCTATATGGGTGTAAAAGCAATCAGTGTAAAAAAAAAAAAAAATCTTCATCACCCCCACAAGTAGTAAGTGTCACCATGGTGACACTGTACTGCTAGGGTGACAGTATGTAAAAAAAAAAAAATAATAATAATAAAAAATAAAATAAAAATGTAAAAAAAATTTTTAAAAAATTATAATTTTTGGTTATAAACTAATTTGGATTTTTTTTTTTACTACAAGATTTATGATGAAATATTATTTATTTGCAAAATTGTATTTAAAAAAACACTTTTTTCAAAATTTTTGGACTTTTTCATTTACATAGTAAAAAAAATAAAAATCCCAGCGGTGAATAAATACCACCAAAATAAAGCTTTATCTGTCTCAAAAAAATGGTAAAAAATTCATATGGGTACAGTATTGACTGACCGCGCAATTGTCATTCAGTGTGATAGCACTGAAAACTGAAAATTGCCCTGGACAGGAAGGGGGGTAAAAGTGTCCGGACAGGAAGTGGTTAAACAAAATAAGTGCAAAACATTTCTTAAAAAAAATTAAAAAAAAAATTTCTAGTATTAAATTTTGCAAACAGGTAATGATGAGTTGATGAGGCTGCACTGATGGGCACTGATAAGGTAGCATGGATAGGCTGCACCGATGAGGTGGCACTGATGAGGCAGCACTGGTGGGCATTGATGAGGAGGCACTGATAATGCTGCACTGATATGCAGCAATGATGGGCACTGATAGGTGGCACTGACTGACAGCACTAACTGGCAGCACTGCTGGGCACTGATGGGTGGTACTGCTGGCAACTGATGGGTGGCACTGCTGGGAACTGCTGGGTGACGCTGCTGGGCACTGATCATCAGTACCCTGATGATCAGTGCAGATGTCCTCTGTGTCATTTGCCGGTTATCGGCAGTACTTACCTCACGCTATGACAGTGTGAGGAAAATGCTGCCGATAACCGGCAACTGTATTTACATTCTGATCTGCTGTGTCATTGGACACAGCTGATCACGTGGTAAAAGGCCGCTATGATTGGTCTTTCACCTCATCATGTGATCAGCTGAGTCCGTTGGAAACAGCGATCACAGAGACTGACAGCTGCGTGCCGCTGGGGGCATGCGGGAGAACGCGTTCTGGCAGAAGGTCATATGATGTCCTCCCAGAACTGGACAACCGCGCTGTAGCTGTCATTCGGCTATAGCACTGTTGGCAACTGGGTAAAGCAGAACTCCGGCAATCACTTCTTTACATGTCCTTGTTGCTGATTTCCTACCTTCACTGAATATGTCATCCATCTTCTGCTTCACTTAGTAGTTGATTTGAAATAGCCTATTTATTTTCAAATAAAGCCATTCTTTCTCTTTGGTTTCCTGTTTTTAAGACTGGTGGCTGCTATGCCTCCTATTCCCCCAGCCACTGGTCTTGGCACATCCCTTCTGTAGTTTTTTCTCACCAGGAAGCATTGCTGTAATTCAGCCCCACTTAAGTGGTGGGTGGACCTAGATTCTCAGACTCTCAAACACATTTAACATGTATAGGCCTAGTATACTCACCCACATTCTCTACAAATCCCTGTGGTGGATGGGAACTGTAGTTTCCTTTTACTGCAGAGAGAGGAGAGGATATGATGTAATCCCCGGCTGTTACATCTCCTCCATGGCAGAGCAGATGCTGTTATCTTTTGAATTACAGAGATGAGGTCATTACAATCCATTTGGACTTTTCTCCTAAATGGTAAGGATTTTCAAAATGTTATTAACGTTTTAAGGTTTTGTGTAGGGGGATGTTTTTTGCCTATCCCGGAGTTCTCCTTTAAGGTGGAATTCCAGGTAAAACTTGTCTACTCTTAAAAATGCTCCCTCCCTTCACTAACAGCTAATCTGACTATCCTGTGTAAAAAAGATCTGTATACATACCTATTTTAAGGTGGCCCAGTCACATGACCCAGTTTCCCTGTGTCAGACAGCTAGGCTCCAGGTGAAAGAAGGGAATGGCGATCACGGTTGGGCCATTAAAAGCCTATGGGTGACATAATCACTCCCAGTTATTACCAACCATTGTCAGAGCGCTCCCTCTTCTCCCCTGCAGCCTCTGCTGGCTGAGCTCAGGTGACCAGACCAGAGTGGTCTCTCTCAATCTCTCTCATAGCTATAGTCACTAGCAGTATTCACTGTGTTCTGCCGGTTGGGAAAGCTCACGCCTGCACTATGGGAGGCATGCAGTCAGTGTTGATGGGGGACTTGAGTGATTTTCTTAGGTGGAAGGAAAGAAAATCAAATCATCTATAGCAGTGATGGCGAACCTTTTTGAGCCCGAGTGCCCAAACTGCAACCCAAAACCAACTTATTTCTTTCAAAGTGCCAACACCGCAATGAAACCTGAATATCGAGCTTTTGGTTTAGAAAAAACAACTCGTACAGTAGTGCAAATTAATTAACAGTACAGGGATGACCAGAGACTGCGGACACAGTACAGTGACCAGAGAGGGACAGTACAGGGATGACCAGAGACTGCGGACACAGTACAGGGATGACCAGAGACTGCAGACACAGTACAGGGATGACCAGAGACTGCAGACACAGTACAGGGATGACCAGAGACTGCGGACACAGTACAGGGATGACCAGAGACTGCGGACACGGTACAGGAGATGACCAGAGACTGCGGACATGGTACAGGAGATGACCAGAGACTGCGGACACGGTACAGGGATGACCAGAGACTGCAGACACAGTACAGGGATGACCAGAGACTGCAGACATAGTATAGGGGATGACCAGAGACTGCAGACACAGTACAGGGATGACCAGAGACTGCAGACACAGTACAGGGATGACCAGAGACTGCGGACACAGTACAGGGATGACCAGAGACTGCGGACACAGTACAGGGATGACCAGAGACTGCGGACACAGTACAGGAGATGACCAGAAACTGCGGACAGTACAGATGACTGCTGACCTTTGGGGAGGGAGGGGGAGCGGGTACCTGAATTTGACAGGTACCCGCTCTTACTTCCGCAGAGTTTTTTTTTTTATCTTACCTGTTCCTTTATCCAGCCGCGCGTTGTCTTCCCGGCTTCTGTAATGTGGGCGCTCGTCGGACAGCCGGATGCCCAGTGTGCATGCGCGAGAAGCGCTGCGCTTTGTGATTGGTCCGGCGGCTTCTGGGATCTGTCATGTGTCCCAGGTACCTGCCTTACCATTCACAAAGAGCACTGCTTCTTGCGCATGCGCACTTGGGACCCGGCTGTCACGCACACTACAGAAGCCGGGAAGACAGCGCGCCGCTGGATAGAGGGACAGGTACGGTCCCACTGCAGAGCTGAGCGGCCGGCCCGGTATTCTGACACGGCGGCGGTGGAAATACCGGACTGGCCGCTCTATATTCGCTCCATAAGACGCACTGACATTTTGCCCCCTTTTTTTGGGGGAAAAAAAGTGCGTCTTATGGAGCGAAAAATACGGTATTCTCCTGGCGTGCCCACAGATAAGGCTCGGCGTGCCGGCTGTGGCACGCGTGCCACGGGTTCGCCATCACTGATCTATAGGGCTGCTTAAGTTGCATGCAAAGAAAAGGCTCTTACCCATGTCTCTCATGCTCTGTGTAGCAGTATAGTTACATAGTCATGTTAAAAACACTTATAGAATTCCTCTATAGATACTATCATATACCACATTTGATCCAGATAAAGGCACAAAAAAAACAATAAGGCATGATCCAATTCGTTCCAGTGGGGGAAAAAATTTCCTTCCAGATATCCCATGAGACAATTGAATATTCCCTGAACCAACTACCCTTGTGGTTATTACCTTTAAATATTAATATCCAGTTATGTTTTGTGCATTTAGGAAATAATCCAAAAACAAACTGAACTGGGTAGAACCAAATCTTTAGAAAGTCTCATTACACATTTTCTCAGCTCTTAAAGTGCCCCCTTGTCTACTATAAGGACCTTAAAGTGAATAACTCAACACCAAGCTCAGTATATGGACCACTTATGTATCCATGCATGTTGATCATATCCCCCCTAAATCTCCTCTTCTCAAGACAGAATAAATTTAGTTCCTCTAATCTTTCCTCATAGCTGAGCTCCTTCATGCCCCTTATCAGTTTTGGTTGCCCTTCTCTGCACTGTCTTTGGTTCTCCGATATCTTTTTTTGTGAATTGGTGCCCAAAACTGAACTGCATATTCCAGATGAGGTGTTACTAATGATTTGTACAGAGGTATTATGATATATCTTCTGAGTTTTTACCTCTCCTATTACAATAAAGTATTTTTTTAGCTCTAGAAACTGCAGCTTGGCATTGCATTCTATTATTAGGTCTATGATGTTCCAGAACACTCAGATCCTTCTCCACCATTGACTCCCCCAGCTGCTCTCCTCCTAGTATGTATGATGCATGAATGTTTTTAGCCCATAAGTGCATAACTTTACATTTATCAACATTAAACCTCATTAGCCACACAACTGCCCAATTAAACAGAGCATTGAGGTCAGCTTGTAAATTAGAGACGTCCTGTAAAGGTTTAATTCCACTGAATATCTTGGTGTCATTTCCAAATACTGAAATAGTATTTTTAACCCCAGACTCTATATCATTTATAAATATGCTAAAATGTAAGGGTCCCAACTCTACTAACCTTAGGCCGCTCAGAAAATGAATCATTAGTTACTATTGTCTGAATACGGCTTGCGTAAAAAAGCAACAAGGTAATCTCTCAAATTAGGATCCCATAGCAACAAAAGGGGTCACACAAGCAGTACAATCCATGTGACACCCTGCACAAAGGCTTTTACCAAGGAATTTGATGCAATAGGTCTCTGATACAGAATAGTTAAGTTTAAAAATTGCCCTTTGATGGCACTTAAAGCCAGAGACATCTCTACAACAGAATGGAGAAAGCCAGATTGTGCCCAATGACATACTGTCTGGATGAAATTTACAAGTCTTTCACGTACAATGGTAATACTTCCTGGAGGTAAAACTTTCTTGCCTCGAGAAGGGTAGTAATAACAATGTTGGAGAGTTAGAAACATCCCTATCCCTGAGAACTTGGGCTTCAACAACCATGCCAACAAAGCCAGCAAAAAAAATAAAATGGATGAAACACTGGACCCTGCAACAGCAAATCTGGCTGATCAGAAAAGCCCACGTCTGCCAAGAGATTTACAATGTCCACATATGACATTCTTCTTGGCGAACCAGGTGCTATTAGAATCACCCAGGATGCCCTCCACCTTTATCCTGCACAACAGGCGAGGAAGAAGTTGCAGTGCATAGAAGACATACATAAATCAAGAAAAACAGATCCCAAGGAATCACCAGGGCATCCTCAGCTAATGTCCATTTCCTAGTCTAAGGCACAAACCTGTTCAGTGAGCTGTTGAATCTGGATACCAAGAGATCCACATATGGCATTTCCCACTACAGGTAAATCTCTGCAAAAAAATCCAAGATCTTCTCACACTTGTTCAAAACTGACAGGTTATTTAGGTGAAGAGCTATGGAATGAAACTGGGCATATTGGACAGCATTGAAGGCATCTACTATCTTGCCTCAGTATCCTCATGCAGACCTGAATGGACAGACTCTCCAACAGTTCAGTGCACAACCAAATTTTTACAAGACTTGCACAGTCTGCTGGACATTTTAGGACAGCTTCTAAACAGATTGCTCCCTTAGAAGCAGGTTGCCAAGGTGCCTGACTATGGGAATACCCCAGGCCCTCAGCCCCAGAACCAGAGCCAACACCTTGGTAGACATTCTGGGAGCCATGAAAAGACTAATAGGCAACATCACAAACTGATCATGGTGATCCTGTAATGCAAACTGCAGAAACTGCTGGTGAGGTCAGAAATAAAAAAAATCAGGTTGTGTAGGTAGGCATTCTTTATATCTATTGATGCCAGACGTACCGCAATGAAACAAAACCATCTCCAACTAGGTAGAACCCATTTCTGAATGTCTGTACTTTCAGGAATTATTTTGAGACCCTTGGACATCCAGAATAGGCCGGATGTCTCCATTTGGCTTGAGAACCACAAACAGGATTGAACAGAAGCTGTGAGACATCTCTTCCAGCACAGAAGTGATGACTACCTGGGACAGCAGCTTTTACAGAAGTGTAGAGAAAGCCACTCCTCCAGCTCAGAAGATACCTTTGAGCACATAAAGCAGCAAGATTTCAGTAACCTCTGGATACCATGCTGCAGACCCAATCATCTTCCTAGGTCCAGACAGGTGCAAACACCCCATCACTGTGAAGAAAATTTGCTTCTGTAATTGGAGCGCTTGAGGTCCAGTTCTTATGGAACAGAGACGCAAGTCTTCTGATAAAGAGTCCAAGGCTTGCTGCTTGCAAAAGGAACTCTTTCTAGATCTGAATTCAGCACCAGTTTGTAACATGTTACCCTCACTGCCTTCCTTAGTTTCACCGACCAGCAACCATAGGAGCCTTCTCACAAGTACAAACAAGGTGCTCAACTGAGAAAGCCAACATATGGAGCTTTCCACATGCCCATTGAAATCCATTGAGTAACTCAAGGTTCTCAGAAATTTTCCAAAAAATGCCATATGCCAGGATCCCATTTTCTGGAACAAAGCATACACTTTGCTCAAACTTTCACCACAGATGGTGGAGCTGCTTACAACAGAAAGGGCGCTTCAAAGGGCCTCTAGCCTCTTATCTGTGGGATCCTTAAAAACCAGGACCTCATCCACTGGGACCATCGGGGTCTTAATCAAGTAGGAAATGGCCAGGGTAACATATAGAGACCCTTTTTTCTTGTAGAATTCCTCCACTGGGTACTGGGAGGACTCCAGGAAAAGCAGCTTTAAGTTAGCTCACACCATGTCCACCAAGAAGCACATTGTGGTCTTCTGTGTCTGAAACAGTACTGAACCTTGAGTCCTGGGAGGACTTGCCTAAAGGATTCCTGACCCTCAGACAGCTTTCACCTCCTGCAGATGTTACTTCAACACCTGAACTGGGAATGTACCTCATATATTGTGTGTGTATATATATATATATATATATATACATACACAAATATATATACATATATATATATACACACAACTCGATTTCCCCTATCTACACACTAGATGGGGAAATCCTCCTACTGAGCCTTTGTATTTTGACAGCGGGTAGTCATCCCCGCCATCAGAATACACCAACTAGCACTGGCAGCACCGAACGAGTGGCAAAAATCTGACAGGGCGTGAAAGAGTTAATAGTTAACTAACTTTTGCTTTGTGCCTACTAACTGGTTTATATATCATACAAGATGTTCCCTTGGGATTGAAATGTTATCTATGCACACATTTTTTTTCTGAGAAATTGTAGAAGTTACTAATCTGTTGCATTTTTGTTATAACTAGCCATAGAATAGTTTACTGAAATCTCTTTACTGTGTTCTGATTGGTGCTTTATGGAAGCCGCCTGAAATATGCTGTGTTATCATTTATTACTTAAGGCCTGATCAATAATAAAGAAGTTGAATTCTGCCTCAAGAAAATAAGTATTGAGCTAAAGCGCCCAGTGGCGATTAAATACCACCAAAAGAAAGCTCTATTTGTGAGAAAAAAATGATCAAAATTTCATATGGGTACAATGTTTGCGTATGACCCGCGCAATTGTCAATCAAAGTGCGGGCTGAAAATTGGGCCTGGTAAGGAAGGGGGTATAAGTGCCCGGTAGGCAAGTGGTTAAGGCCTGATCAATAATAAAGAAGTTGAATTCTGCCTCAGAAAATAAGTAATTGAGCGTGTGTGTGCAATGGGAGTGGAGGCGTGGGTTCGGATCCCACTTCTGACACCAGTTGATAGGAATCAGCCTATGTCTGTAGCCCCTGTCCTCATTATTTTCATCCTCAGGCCTTGGAGAAATAAAGCTCCAGACACCAAAGTGTGCAATGCTAAATCTCTAAAAGTT